AGTAGACATCCGGAGGAAAAGATGGGCAGTGTACGTCACGTATCGCACCAGCTAGGTATATGACAGCTATAAACAGGCCCGTAATAAAGCCCAAGCTGTTCAAAGACAAGAGAAGTTCTGTTTCGAGCGTAGGTTAGCCAGGTCAGCAGAGGCGAACCCAACGGGATTCCATCCCTACGTACAATCTAAAAAGAGATCGAGGGAAACTGTGGCTGCACTAGGAGGTCTGGATGGCCAACTGGCACTGACAGGTCGGGAAAAGGCCAGGACACTCCTGGAAGCGTACAAGGGGATATATCGCCTACAAATTGAGACCCAGGATGACCCGAACTGGCGGAGAGGCTATACCTCACCGGGTTTATTTGAACTGTGGGTGAACTTAGAAAGCGTCAGGAGAGAGCTAAANGAGCTAAATACCCTGTGTAAATACAAAGCTGCTGGGCCAGATGGAATCCATCCAGCCGTAGTTCAACCACTGGCCGAAGTCCTAGCTCTAACGGTGATGCTGCTTTTCGCGGCCTCACTCAGGGAGGGAAACCTTCCTGGAGAATGGAAGGCGGCAACAGTGGTGGGTATATACAAGGGTGGCCCCAGGCAAAAGCCCACGAATTATAGGCCAGTCAGTCTAACATGCGTCCTATGCAAATGCCTAGAACGAATCGTGAGGCGACAATTATGCGAGCATCTCGTGGTACACGTCATCATAACACCCGCGCAGCATAGATTTGTGATAGGCAAGTCCTGTCTGACTAATTTGCTGTTATTCCTAGACGAGGTGACCAGGAGACTCGACGAAGGCCTTACTGTGGAAGTCTGTTACATGGACTGCAGTAAGGCTTTCGACTCAGTCAACCACAGATACTTGGACCACAAGATGCAGACAGTAGCCATTACAGGGAGGGCCAGGACCTGGGTGAATAACTTTCTCAGGGGGAGGACTTTCAGAGTAAGAGTTGGCACGTGCGCTATAGATCAAGCAAATTTGATCAGTTGCGTACCCCAGGGATCTGTACTGGGCCCATTACTCTTCCTCATATTCATAAAGGACCTACCGTCGGGGCTGCGGAACCCGTGCTACGACGTGAAGGTGGCCGGCGCAGACCTGGATGAAGACATTGAAGCTATACTATCCTGGTCACATAAGTGGGACCTGGCACTAAACCTAGCCAAGCTTCAACGGCTAGGGGCAAGAAGGGCCGACATTCCTGATCAGATAGGGCAGTTGATGGAGGTTACGCATACCAAGGACCTAGGGATGGTGGTCTCTATGGACTGCAAGCGCTCCAGGTAGTGCATAGCGTCAGCTAATCAGGCTAGGGGCGAACTATTTAGGATAAGGGCTACGATGTTCGGCAGAAACCCGCAGGTTATGGTCCCGCTGTATAAGGCTATCGTCCGGCTACATCTGGAGTATTGTATCCGAGCATGGGCACCATACTTACAGAAGGACCTAGATTGCTTGGAAAGGGTCCAACGGCTCGCAACCCGAATGGTACGTGGTTAGAACCACAAGGATTATGGGGATAGACTTAAGGACTTGAACTTGTTTTCCCTTCGACGTAGACGCATGAGGGGTCACTTAATTGAAACGTTCAAAATAATTACCGGTCTGTCGGGCATCAAAAGCGAGAAACTATTCTCTGCGATCCCGGAAAGTGGCAACAGGGGGCACAGCTTTAGACTCCAGCGTCATCACAGGAGGCTGCAACTCCGGGCAAGTTTCTTCACCAACAGGGTGATCTCACTGTGGAATAGGCTGCCAGAACACGTGGGTAGATGCAGCACAGTAGTGGCATTCATGACCGCACTGGACGAGTGTTGGAGTACAGTCTGTAGTGACCATGATTGTATGAAGAAAAGGAGCAATCCACGAGGACGTTTTCCGTTCATATTTTCTTCACAATCAACTCTGACTCGAACTGTGATATTTTCTTTGTTTTACTTCTGGTTGTTTTACCGAGCATGGTTTTCCGCTCAGGCGTATATATAAGCTGGGTTCTGTTCAAACCCACGCTACACGTGTGACACGCTTTCGCTCTGCTACTGCATTTATTGCTTGCATTGTTTAGCGTCACCTTGGCACGTTTCGGTACTATCTAGTACCACGATTCGCCAATAAACGTTTACGACTCCCACGAGTGTTTTGTCTACTTCGGGCAACGAGATACTAGAAGGTCGCGCAATACTGAGACCCGTAAGAAGACTTACCGGCAGTCCGTCAACACCGAATAGCTTCAAGTCTACCCAGAAGCGGCCTACTGAGGAGTAAGAAGCTAGCCGGTAATGTTTGGCGTTACAGATGTGAATGTATGCTAGAGAAAGGTGTTTTCTGTTAGGTATTTTCTGTGAATCTATCAGGTGCCAAAATTTCACACTTTAAGACAATTCCGCCAGGTGTCAATGGTCTGGATCAGGGTCATCCATACTAACTTATGGCAGCTTGGCCCAGGCCTAGACCGCTGAATCTCATCTGTCTATTTTTCAGAAGCACCCTGCTGGGAACGTATACTGAGGACAGAGACAACTAGACCCACCAACGGTGGATCGCTGGAATCGTCAATACGCCGCGTCGGAAGCTACAAACGCCCTCCAATAACACAAAAATCTGGACGCTCGATTGGCTGGAAGCCACAATTCGTCATGTGCATACTGAACTGAACTGGAATTATTCTAAAACTGACTGTTCCGTTACACGTGATCTGTGTATACGAACGCACGTGTGCTTGAGGTCTCCAACCAATGAGGCGAGGAGATAACCTTTCTTTTTTTCCTCCCTTTCAGCATACCCTTAATGAGTCAACGTTCTGGCAACGGGACTAAATTGAGAGGACCACAAACACCTAATCAACTGTATGCAGTGTTGGAAGCTACTCCCATCCGCCGAGAACACAGCGAACTGGACGCTCAATTAAGAAGGGCCATATTCGTCATGTGAAAACTGAGCTGAACTGACTGATTTGAATTTGTTTTAATGTATCACGTTTCTATCATTGGTTGGTCAGTTGTCACGATCTGTAATTAGTCTTTGCTGTTTCGGAAATATGGGGAACGAAGCGTCTCTACCTGAACTGTGCTCCACGTTTGACGTTGAAGAAATTCGACGCCTTGCTAAACGTTTTAAAAAATTAGATCTTGATGGATCAGGCTCCCTTAGTGTAAAGGAGTTTATGAGTCTCCCGGAATTAAAGCAAAACCCCTTGGTCGCCAGAGTTATAGAAATATTTGATACCGATGGCAATGGAGAAGTCGACTTCAAAGAGTTTATCAACGGAATGTCTCAGTTCAGTGTTAAGGGTGATAAAGAAGCGAAATTGCGGTTTGCCTTCAAAATATATGACATGGACAAGGACGGATATATCAGTAATGGTGAACTATTCCAAGTAAGTGATTTTTTGTTTACGGTAACCCTCGTTTGGTTGTGGTAATTATTTCTAAATTCGCTCAATGTACTCATCTAATATCTTATTTTTCGAAGCCAAAATCACAATGGTCCGATCGGATTGTCTGATTTGAAATGACCGCTGAGCACCCACAATGGAGGTTAAAGTAATCATTTCACTGATAAAAAAATAAGCGTAACCTCGTGGTTGTATCTTCTTCTATGGAATAGTTTCTTCACTGTTTATCTGCCTGTTGAAATCCTTCAGTTTTTGATCGAAAGTAATTGTGAGAATCATGTGCGCGTGTTACCTGGAAACCAAATAGGTAATGTTGAATGAATTTACCCCGCCCAGCCGTTCTTCGATCAGCTATCCGCTGTGGCCGCTTACAAATCTAATTTTTACAAGTCAGTTTCTTGCCGTGATTAACACATCAGTCTTAGAAACCAGATTGATGAGAAACGGCTTGGCCACTGGGGCCGAATATATCGATCCTAAAAAGGACAAAGTGTAGTGACCATGATTGTACGAAGAAAAGGAGCAATCTACGAGGACGTTTTCCGTTCATATTTTCTTCGTACAATCATGTTCACTACAAAAGTTTGCATTGTACGCCTGCCACCGAATTGAATTCCGCCATTTCCGGAAGTAGACTCACAATCTTCCGCTTCTCATCACTTCTATCCAAGGGTGGCTTAGGTCGGCGGTTATCGTGAGTTCACAACTGGTCAACGCGAAACGTTTAAAAAATAATTTGAGAAAGACTTCACTGTTTAGAACAGGTATTTTACATGCTTAGGGATTTACTTTGGTGGTAGGCAGCTTTGCTGTCGTCCGGTTCATAATCACGCCTAACCTATCAGGGCCTTATGTGGTTCAGCACTCCAAGTCCCGGGGATTAGGTTACCGGTTTCCATCACTGAAAAGGAGGTCCTCGTGACTATTGGGTTCGCTCCGTCTACTGTTAATCACACAAAAGTGTGTAATAAAAAAAAACTGTTCGTAGCTGCCGCTTCTGAGGAGAGAAACCCATATGGAGGTCGAGGGATGACATAAAAACGATGTATGAATTAAGACGAAGTATGTCTCTAGTCCTCCAAAGATTGGCTGATTGGAGACCAAAAGATATATCGGGGAACTGGCAGTAGTGGCTTTATTTTCATTTTTTAGAAGGCTGAACTTTTGAAAGATGTGGACTTCTCTATTGAATCCTGTTAGGTGGCATTTTTTTAATACTCAGCCGTTCTTTTTGGGATGCACTCCTGGTGTTCAAAACTAATCATGGATGTGTTCCATCTCAGAAACATGCATCCGTGATTATTTTCTTGTGAAAGTTACGGTCTATCAACTGGTGATCGTTTAGCCCGAATGATGTCACCTCGGCTGGTCATGAGACATTTACAAATAAATTGTCAAGCTCGGCGAACAGGCGAAATGGAATACGGTCTAATATAACACCTTTTTGTGAATTATTAAACCAGGTTCGCATTTCCTTTGAAATAGCAGGAGGCAGTTAGTTTGGATTAGTAGCTGTATCAAGATGAAGTTGCTCTAGATGCAGCAATACTAAAGATGCTGAGGGAGAATCAACAACTTGTGGGAATCGCGAATGCTGGATGGAGAAGTAGTACATATTGCTGGCTAACGAAAT